GGGGGGGGGGGGGGGGGGGGGAAGGGTGGAGGAGGCCGAGGTGGTAGATGTGGTGGTAGAGAGAGTAGGAGTGGAGAAGGTCGACGGGGGGGTGTGGCTGGAGGCGGCTGTGGACGCTGTGGACGTGGGGGTGGTGGTGGTGACCACCTGGATGGAGGGGGTAGTGGTTTGGGACTCGAGGGCGGTGGATGGGGGCACAGTCGTAGAGGTGGGTGTCGTGGTCGTGACCAATGTGATTGTCGGGGTTTGATGCTCGATAGAGAGGGTCACACGGTTGGATAGGCCAGAGATATTGGTTTCGATTTTGGTGATGGACGCGCGGATGTCCGTTTGGAAAGAGGTCATCATGCGAATGAGGGTGGCGATATCGGTGGCAATGAGCTTGGATCTTTGTTCGCCCGTAAGTTCGTGAGCGAGTTTGCCAACAGATTCGGTGTTGACGTCGGTCTTATCGATGTTGGAGGATTGAGCAATGTTGGGGGAAGATGGAGTGGATGCAGTGGGTGAGGCGACGACTGCGGATGAGGTGGAGGCAGACGCGGCGGCAGCGGAGGCATCGATAGTCGCGCGCTAAGAGTTTTTGCTTTGGCGTGCCATGCGGAGATTTGGGAGTGGCAGGGGGTGGGGTGGGGAGGGTATTTACAACATTAATTGATTTATTCAAAAATAAATAAAGGTATTTGCCAAAACAAGAAAATGGGAATTAATTCAAAATAAAAGTAATTTATTCGTGATAAATTTGAAATTTCAAAAAGGATTTCGCCAGAGAAAAGTTGGAAACACAAAATTTTCAGGAATGAAATAAATGCTGAAAATGTCAACAAATAAAGATAATTAATTTCAAAAAAATAAATTCTGGTTAAATTTAATTCAAAATTAATTTTTGGGTATGAAAAGCGTGAAATTTCAAAAGGAATTACGTAAAATATTCCCGAAGTTCGAGAGTTTCGAAAAATAATTTACCAAAATATACGAGGAAAGGAATTAAGGAAAATTATTTTCGAATTTCAAAAAAATGGAAATATCAAAAAAGAATTTAATTAATTTTAACGAATTTTTAAAATTTTTGAAAAGAATTACTGAAAAGTAGTTTCAAATTTCAAAGGAATGTCGAAAAAGAATTAATTACTTCTACGTATTTCGAATTACGAACAAAGAAATGTGAAAAAAAGTTCATTTTAAAAGATTTTTGAATTACAAAAATTTTGAAAAACAATTAATTAAAATTATTTTCAAATTTCGAAGAAATGTCGAGAAAGAATGATGAATCCTACATATTTTTGAAAATTTCAAAAAAGTAAACATTTTTTGAAAAAGAACTGTCGAGAAAGATAGTTAATTAGTATTCTCGAATTTACATGAATTAAAAAAAAAAAACAATAATAAAGGAATAAATTAGTTTTGCTGTAAATCGAGGGCGGAGCGATCCTATCTACAAACGATTGGGTGGTAGTGTGACGAACTATATTCCGTGTCGCGCGACTTTCTACGTGATGATGACGAAGGAGGGTATAAAATCAGATGGAGCTGTGGAAAGATGGGTCCGTCGGGCAAATTGCATGGATGCCCTCGTTTCTACTTGTTTTCTGTGGGGAATCTGTCGGATCGGTGTCGCGAAAGTCCCGCGCCAACGATTGGGTAACCGCGCCTTAGTGAGCGCGACGGACAACGGTGGCCATGGCTTCTTTCTTGTTCTGTTGAGAGCACTATGAATTTTGGCGCGATTATCGCACGGGAATATCGTTTTTGAATTTTCAACTGACGACGAGCCCCCACGGGCTCGCGGAATTGTCTTTAGGTTCTTCGAAATTTCCTTTTTGCAATTAGGACTTGGGCTAGGAATTTAGGTACTCTGGATTTTGTTGCGTCGCGCTTCTCACTCGCGCACATCTTGCGGCGCTGAGAACTGGGCTCTGACTGGATCGCGCCCTTAATCTTGTGTAACTGTCATTTTTGGTGGGCGCGATTGTAACTGTATCTTTCTTCTTTCTTGATTTCCTCGTATTTGCCCGCCTTCTTCTTCTTTGTCTTGCATGCTTAATGCTTCGTTCTAATTGGCCTAAACGCCTGCATGACCGGATCGATGCGTGGAGTGCGGCTACGACCCCCACGCCGCAGCCTGGCCATGCAGACGTAGGCACTTCCTCTCTTCTCCTCCTGATCGCTTGGGCTTAATCCCGTATCTTTGGCGCAAGCATGCATGCTATAAATTTGGCAAGCGCGATTAGTTTGCTCTCTATGAACTTTGGAGTTAGCGCGATCAATGAGGGGCGGCTAACGAGTGAGAGGTGAGTCGACAAGAGAGTTGGGCGATCCGACGAGCTGGTGTCGGGTATGCGGGGTTGACGTGAGGGTCGCGACGGACTGTGGCGCACGGGCGAACCTGGCTTGCATGCTCGAACCAAGCGGGGCGACAACTCTGTGAGCTTGAGAGGTGAGTCGACGAGAGAGTTGGGCGATCCGACGAGCTAGTGTCGGGTATGCGGGGTTGACGTGCGGGCCGCGACGAACTGTGGCACACGGGCGAACCTGGCT